AGCGGGTGGGGGGGTGGGGCGGGGGGTGCGCGGGCTGGAAGAGGTCAATGGGAGGGAAAAGGGGACATGTATAATACTTTCAACAATAAAGAATTTTTTTAAAAAGTATGAAAAAATAAAACCACGTTAGGCACACTAAAACATACATTTAGCCCTTGCCGGTTTGGCTCAGTGGATAGAGTGTTGGCCTTCAGACCGAAAAGTCTTGGGTTCGATTCCGGTCAAGGGTATGTACCTTGGTTGCAGGCTCCAACCTGGCCCCACCAGGTCAGGATGCGTGCAGACTCCAAGGTTTCAAAGAAGGGAATAAATCCCAAAGCAGTCATAAAAGAAGGCTCCTTATAGCTTCAGCTCATGAACCAAGAAATTTAGTGTTGTCAATTTTGGGCAGCTGAATGGTCTGTTTTTATTAACCACAGTTGTAAGTTCTTTAACTGTTATTTAGACACCAAAATTTACTTCAAAATGAGATATCCGACTCCCAGGGGGATATATTTATAACAAAAATAATGTTTTCAGAAAAATTTAGTTCAAGACCATATCCAATACTTGACGAAGAATTTCCTCACCCCTTCCCTAGAAAACTATCAACTAATTTTAAAAGGTATCTTATTTTTAAAAATTATTTTGAATTAAAATAAAAAACAGGGATCCGGTCCTAACCGGTTTGGCTCAGTGAGCGTCGGCCTGTGGACTGAAGGGTCCCAGGTTCGATTCTGGTCAAGGGCATGTACCTTGGTTGCAGGCACACCCTCAGTAGGAGGTGTGCAGGAGGCAGCTGATCGATGGATCTCTCTCATCGATGTTTCTAACCAACTCTCTAGCCCTCTCCCTTTCTCTCTGTAAAAAGTCAATAAAACATATTTTTAAAAAAAGGTATCTTCAGAAGAAATCAATCTTTAAAAAAAAACAGGGATCCATACTTTTTTTTAAAAAATATGTTTTATTGACTTTTTACAGAGAGAAAGGGAGAGGGCTAGAGAGTTGGTTAGAAACATCGATGAGAGAGATCCATCGATCAGCTGCCTCCTGCACACCTCCTACTGAGGGGGTGCCTGCAACCAAGGTACATGCCCTTGACCGAAATCTAACCTGGGACCCTTCAGTCTGCGGGCCGATGCTCTACCCACTGAGAGAAACCGGTTAGGGCCAGGGATCCGTACTTTTGAGAGAGAAATGAGAGACTGGATACCACAGAACATGACAGTTCCAAAAAAGGTAGATATGATTCACTGCAATGGATAACATATCTTAATTGAGACTACTACATTTTGTTTACATTTACTAGAAAGGAACAGGAAGTGGGTTTTTAAATGTTTAGTAATAAAAAAGATAAAGTATATGTGAAAAAAATTACTAGCTCATTCCATTAGGTTCCTTTTGTGAAAAAAACAGCAGTTCCTTTGAATAGAAGAGAGATATTTTAACATACTTTCATCAAAATCAGAATTTCAAATGTAAAGTAATTCTTTAGTAACTCCCTAATCATAGAATCTGATTAATTAAACTATAAAAGAATTCTAGACTAGGGGTGCCTTCCTTTCTAATTAAACAGTTCCTTATCCCAAACTTGGTAATCTTCAGAAACCAAGAGGAAAATGTAATAGGTCCAATAATGAGAGGTTGGTTCTATCAACTGTGCCAGTAGTGTTTGGTTCTAAAATACTACATAATACCTACTATGAAAATACAATCAAGGTAGGATTAAAATATCTCCAATAGCTAATTTTTCTTCTTCTTTGACTAGAAAATGCTCAATTCTTAAAATATACCAAAAGCTTATAATTGCCACTAGATGAGTGGTACTCACAGTAATGTGACTCCAGGAGTGTATTTGTTAGTGTGTGCACTGTGCAGTCCATCATACAGCTCTCTACCACCTCAAATTTCTATAGTAAAATCATAGAAGTCATTCGATGTATTCAGTGTTAACAAAGGAAGGGTACAGCAGTCTAGGTATCTATAAGCCTAAAAATACAAAGACATGACACATGGCTTATTCTCTATCACTCTAGTTGGCTTCTGTTACCAAATATCCTTTGGCTCCCTTCTATGACATTTGCTCAACAGCCATGTGCGTTCTCCTTGACTTCTACACTGCCTGAACTCCGGATTCCCAGGGATTCTCGGATTACCTACGAGGCTCTTCCAGAGTCCTAGAGGGAGCCCTCAGTTATCACTGTTATCCAAGCCTGTAGTGAGGATCACCCCTCCTGAATGCCCTGAATGCCAGGCCCTTAACAGCAGGTGTCACTGTGCATCTTTAATGGGTGATGTGGGAAGGGTCACTGCTGGCCATCTCTTGTTGAGGGAAAACTGGAGAGCACGCTGCCTGCCTGAATCAAACCTGCAAACAGGCCATGAAGCCTCTCTCCATTTCTTTCTAATTTTGTCTCAACTAGGACCACTTTGATTAGCCAAAAAGGGAAATCATCCTTGGGATTTGAAACAGTAATTATTTTAAAATCAAGAATAATATATAGCCCTAGCCCAGTGGTCGGCAAACTGCGGCTCGCTCTTTGGCCCCTTAAGTGTGGCTCTTTCACAAAATACCGACTTCTGCGCATGGGCCATGAAGTTTCAATTGCACTGTACGTGCGCACCCGCACGTGGTATTTTGTGAAAGAGCCACACTCAAGGGGCCAAAGAGCCACATGTGGCTCGAGAGCCGCGGTTTGCCAACCACTGCCCTAGCCAGTTTGGCTCAGCGGATAGAGCATCGGCCTGCAGAGTGAACCAGGGTTCGATTCCGGTCAAGGGCACATGCCCAGGTTGCTGGCTCGATCCCTAGTAGGGGGCATGCAGGAGGCAGCTGATCAATGATTCTCTCTAATCATTGATGTTTCTATCTCTTTCCCTCTCCCTTCCTCTCTGAAAATCAATAAAAATATATTTTAAAAAATAATAAAATATAAAATTACATTAAAAATAAAATGATTGTGAAAAATGACAATCTGTTCCTCTAACTGCCCTCAGTTTTCCACTACAAAGGAACAAAAAAAAAGAATTCAGTAATTTTTTTATACATACTTCAAAGCTAGAGTTTCTCTTACATTTATAAATCCCAAAACAATACAGAAAACAATGAAACTTTGTGTAGTTGATTATTAGAAGATCTGCAAGCACACACCACAGAATCCTGGATAGTGGATCTAGCATAATATTAACTACAACAAAGGCTGAGAGATAAATTGAAGAAGAGAGTCTTATAGATATTTTTTATTTAGTCATTTCTGCAGACATGGGTGCCACATGAAAATGTGAACAAAAGAGAACTAAAACCTAGCTCCCAGGTCTCACTCTTGAGTCTGGGATAACAATCCCAAGCATGTATCTGGAACCTTCGTCAAATGTCAGGATGAGTCACGGCCCTATTGCAACCCGCTCTTTGAAGTGCACTTATGAAGAGAGGTATTTTTACTTACTCTGGTCAGCATAGTTTTTTGCTTTGAGTTCAAGTTGTCTTGTTTGAGATTCTAAAGATTCCACTCGGGTCTGTAAATCCTTTTTTTCCTGTTCTTGAGAGTCTTCAAATTCAATGAATTTCTAATAAAAGAAATATTTTCATTAGAGAAATGAAAATTTTTTTAACATTTTCAACTCCTGTGTTTCTTGATATCAAGTAGCACAATTAGGCATTAGCTACTCAAAAAGATACCAGAATCATAAACTTAGGTTGATTTTTTTTAGATCCTCTATAAAAAAAAATAAGTTTTAAAACCTCCAAATATAGAAAAGCTGACAAAATAATCTGTTTATGAGTGTTTTCACATGATATAATAGACATTCAAAAGGAAATACATATATCCTACCCCCCACATATATAAATGGCTTTACTAGTATATTTGCATATTCATCTCAGTTCAAGAAACAATTTTTACATAATTTTGCACATAACATGTACAAAAGTAGAGAACCAAAGGATGACGAAATAGCAATAAATATTTGTTAAATGCTAATTTGATTAATGGACAGTCTTCTAGATTCCTGAACCATAGAATTTATATTTTTTAAATAGAGAGAGAGGGGGAGAGGCAGGGTTGGTTTTTTTTGTTTTTATGGCAGGTGTTTTTGTTTTGTTTTGTTTTAATATATTTTTATTGATTTCAGAGAGGAAGGGAGAGGGAGAGAGAGATAGAAACATCAATGATAAGCGAGAATTGTTGATTGGCTGCCTCCTGCACGCCCCACACTGGGCATGTGCCCTGACCGGGAATCGAACTGTGAACGAACTGTGAACGCTCAACCACTGAGCCACACCAGCTGGGCCAGAGGGAGTTTTTTTGACTTTAGAGAAAGAGGAAGGGAGAGTAACACTGATTGGCTGCCTCCTGCACACCCCCTACTGTGGATGGAGCTGGCAACTCGGGCATGTGCCCTGACAGGGAATTGAACTGGAGACCTCTTGGAGCATGGGACAATGGTCAACCAACTGAGCCACACTGGCCAGGGCTGAACCATGGAATTTAAATTCCTAAGAAAAAGAGCATGTTCTAGAAATATCTCTACCAAATTTAATTTACTAAAACTGTTCTCATCAGGAGATTATCACAGAATATAAGAATCAAATCTCAATCCTCATCTTAACCAGCATCATTTGACAGCTCATCACTGATTCCTCTTTAAAATACTTTTTTAAAATTTGACTTCCAGGACTTTTCCTCTACTTTACTGGCTGCCATTCTTTTTTATTTTATTTTTTAAAGATATATTTTATTGATTTTTTTACAGAGAGGAAGGGAGAGGGATAGAGAGTTAGAAACATCGATCAGCTGCCTCCTGCACACCCCCTACTGGGGATGTGCCCGCAACTAAGGTACATGCCCTTGACTGGAATCGAACCTGGGACCCTTCAAGTCTGCAGGCCGACGCTCTATCCACTGAGCCAAACCGGTTAGGGCACTGGCTGTCATTCTTGATTTTCTTTGTTGGTTCTTTCTCTTCTCCCCAACTTCTTGACATTGGCAAGCTCAGTCTTGATCAACTTTTTCTCTTTGCTGTTTACTCTTTGCAGTCAGCTTTGACTTTTCTCTTTCTCTAATACCTTATATCTAATCCATCAGCAAATCTACCTTTAGATCCAACCACAGTTTCTCTCTCTCACTCCCTCTCCCTTCCTTTCTCTCTAAAGTACACCAGATGGCCCGGCTGGTGTTGCTCAGTGGCTAAGCGTCCAACTATGAACCAGGAGGTCATGGTTCCCATGTGTTCCCCAGAGGGGGCGCGAAGGAAGCAGCCAATCAATGATTCTCTCTCATCATTGATGTCTCTCTCTCTCTCTCTCTGTCTCTGTCTCTCTTCCTCTCTGAAATCAATAAAAGAAAAAAGGTTATATGAACAGAAAAGCAGCAACTATATGCTACTAATAAAGTATGAGTAAGTTATTTCAACACTTTTACCTGGGAATATAAGCAAAGATAAAGTATTAGTAAGAAAATGTAATTATTCTTGGCATGCTTTGAAAAGGATGCTCCCTTAAACTAACTAAACTGCTTCATCTGGGTAACTAGAAATTCTTATTTTAGGTTTCTTTTGTGCTATTAATAAAATGTTGTTTTAAAGAACATAGAGATGTTTACAAGTAACACTTAAAATGCTGTGCTACTAAACTCCTGATAAAAAAAACTTGACCACTAATAGGGGTAGGGAGTCGGGGTGGGAGGAATGGGTAAATGTGGTCAAAGGGCACAAATTTCCAGTTAGAATATGAGTAGGTCTGGGATGTAACGTATAGCGGCACCAAGACTATAATTAACAATACTACTATATTGTATATGTTAAAGTTGCTAAGAAAGTAGACATAAAAGTTCTCACCACACAAAAAGATCTGTAACTATGGGAAGTGATAAATGTGTTAACTAACCTTATGTGGTAATCATTTTACTATATATGTAACCAAATTATTACATTGTACACTGTATACCCTAAATTTACACAATGTTATAGTCAATTATTTCTCAATAAAGCTGGGGGAAAAACAATTTTACCACTATCCTGCCTATTCAGACTTTTCTGACGGAGTGAAGAAACATCACACGGTCACAGCTTTGTATCTGCTTTGTTTCTTGGCGACCCAGTTTGGCTACAGAAGGTCATGAATAATCCATAACTGTGGAGCGGTCACTACTATACATTTACTCTACAAGAATGACTTAGACCTATCTAGATGATTCAGGCTTCAAAAATTTTTGTATTTTATTATGACTATCGAGGCCTCATATCTATATTGATTACCTTAAGTATATATGGCAAAAGGAAGAGAGATTTCTTTTTTTCAAAATTGTGTGATAGTTCTTGGACAGGCAGAGCTATTTATCACCAAATGGAAATCTCTTGCTTCTGCAGTTTCCCTTCACAGGAAAGGACTATCAATAACAAAAGTATTCCATAGCAAATGCATAATCCCAGGACTTTCCTTCCAGCAAATTAAAACATACACTTAGAGACTATAAAACAAATTGCTATTCTCATAAGGATATGTTTTTTCCTTTCTTATTCTAAGTGGTGGATTTTCAGGTTTTCTTTGGCATCATAAACTCCTCTGAGAATCATTCTTTTACCAGGCATAAGCATTCCATTTCCATGCATCTTCAAGTTCTACAAGAAATCAAGAATAATTCCCCCCATTTATAAAAACTGTAAATGTTGTGTTTTTTCCAATGTGTTTTTAAAATTCTCTCTGCTCATAAAAATCCCAATTTTAAATGTGTACTACATCTTGGTTTAAAAATGTACAGCTGCGAGCTAATCACTATTACACAACAAAAATAAATATTCCTCAGTTCTGATAAGGCATGTTAATAGATCTTACAGGGCATTGGAAGCCTAGTTAAATGAACACTCCTTATAGCCTTCAAAGAATAACCAAGAAAAAGTAACAAATAACTGAAATTTTCTAAATTGTTACCCAAGAAAAATACCTACCAAAAAGACTAGTTCAGGGGCATGGTTTTGAGAAATATCCCTGATAATATAATCACCTTGGGAACAGAAGTTGCTATAGGATAGAACAGCTCAGGAAACAGAACACTGATGATAACTACAAAAAACTTCAGAAAATGGCCTAGCTTTATATGGTACTTAACAATAATGTGAAAGTAAAAAACACTGATATAAGAATTTAGGAAAAAAATAAAAATAAAAAGAGAAGGTGCCATGAAATTCAATCAGACACCAAAATAGGGCTCTTGGCAGAAAAACGTTTGGACCCATGGCCCTAACAGGAGAGTCCCTTTTCCTGGGTGGGGCCGGGGACAGACTATAAGGGAGGTAACGAGAACTGTTTTTTCTTTTCTTTTTCTTTTTTTAAATGAGCTATTATTTTATTATTGTTCTGAGTCCTGTGCTTTTTTCAATACTTTAAAATATTTATATTATTATTTTGAGGAGATTTATAGCAGAAGTATCTGTTCATGGGAAATGTAATTAGACCTTCAGGGTAAATAAATTCATAGTACTATGCTGGCTTTTGTCAGATGATCTTTTATGAAACATATGAACCTTGCTTAAGTATGTAAGAATGCAAGTTTACACAGAAGACAGATTAATAGGTTATTACTTACTTTCTAAAAATGATTCTTTTTAAAGGAAAGGTTCCTATAAGATCGATTTGAATGAAAAATTCCTGTGGTGCCTTTAAAGTATGGTTGGTATATAAAAATGAGTTTATATGAAACTTTTCAGAGATATGTTTATTGCACAAATGAAAAAGTTCATTTGCCTTGCTCTTTTCTTTTAATGATTTAAAAAATGTTTTAAATTATTATTGATGTTTTTTAGAGAGTGGAAGGGTAAAAGAGAGAAACATTGATGTGAAAGAGAAACATTGATTGGCTGCCTCTCAGACGCACCCTGACAAAGGCTTGAACCCCAAGCTTAGGTATGTGCCCTGACCGGAAACCAAACCCACCACCTTTTGGTGTACAGGGCACTCCAACCAACTGAGCCACACCGGCAGGGCTGCTTCTTTTTTCTATACCTAACTCCCTCATAACTACAGATAAAATAATTAGACAATAGGTGTCAATGGTTACACTAAAAAATTTCTCCAACAAGGCTTTCCACTTCTATGCTGAGAGATCGCAGGTGGGCTAGTAGCATGTGTGAGTACTGCTGAACCTCATTACTAGCTTTGTAGACGACAAACATGAGCGACTCGTTTTAAAGTCTTAATTTACCTCAAAGAAACACATCTGCTTTCTGCTCCTGTAATTCCACCTTAACATACAAACTGAGATAACATAAAAATAGGAACATATCCCATTCTGTCACTTTCTAGTCAAAGAAAACATTGTTGTCACAATTAAATAAAGCCACATACCTATTCACAATGACTGTTCTCCAGACGTCAGCGGAAGTACAGAACAGGCAGTTAGGCAATGTATAAAGACATTTATTACAAACTACTAAGGAATAGCATTCACAGATTTACTGTTAAGTTAAATAACATATTAAATATAAAACTAAAACTCTTTATCCACCATCTAATCCAAGCACTTATTTCATGATAGCCATTAAAAAACACAGTAAACAGTCAACAATATACCAG